TAGCGAACATATCCTGTATTATGTTGCTGAATCACTCTATGCTAAATATATGGAATAACAAATTATTGCAATATTAATATTTTTTTTTACTTTCCATTAAACTGTTCTAATATGTTAAATCACTATCATATTTCCCTCTTACTCTTACAACACGTTTTTTTCTGCAAAAAAAACATAGAGGTCTATGGAAGAATTAAGTGAGACAGTCCTAAATCCAAATGCATATTCAAAATCATAGGAACATACTCTTATATTACTCCCATAGACCTAATTTAGAAGCTGCTTCCTGCCACATCTGTAACTCAGTAAGGAAATATGCAAATAATTCGAGAAAGGAATTATAAATTACGGAAAGAAAATGATCTATTACAATGTACGATTATACAGGATTCAGGCTGAACAATAAGGTTCTTCTTAAAGTAGCTACAAGTATAATAAACAATAAAAAACAAGGTAATGTAGAAATCGTTCGTATAGCAAGTTCGTATAGCAACAGGCGTGACCAGAGTGGTTTGAACGGCTGTTGTACTGCGATGTGGAAAGCAAATGGAAAAACTACCACATTATCACTTTTCCTGGATAGTCTCTTTCCAAAAACAGAAGATCGCATTAAGTAGAGAAACTGTTTTGGAAGAGGCTGTGGACCTGTCATCTGACAGATTACTGATGAATGAATGAAAATAGAAGCACCAATAACTGAAAGTTTATTGTTATTTTAATTAATTTGATTGGTGGTAATACAGGCTATAGTATATTTCCCTTTAGCTAATTCCCGTACAATCACTACAATTTCTGCATAATAATAACACACGCGTGTCCTCCCCCCTCTCCCATGCGCGCGCACACACACACACACACACACATAAACAATAGCAACAATTATTGAGAGAGACGCCTGAAGCAGGCTAATGAATGGGAGTTAAACAAAATAAAGTATAATTATACTTGATGGTTTCTTATAAACAGGCTAATGTATAGAGGTTAAACTAAATAAGGTATAATTATACTTGACGGTTTCTTATATACAGGCCTGTGTATTAAGGATTGCAAATTATGTAGCCGTTAAAAAGAAAACACAGGGTTCTATATGCAATGACATACAGCGAGGATAAAATGCTATTACAACACCGTCCAACTGAACATAAAAATGAAACAGCTAACAGACTGAATTATAATTTGACACTCTGAAAGACTATCACTACCACTCGTATCCGGTTAATTAAGAAGAAGTATAAATTTACTGAGCCGAAATGCGCAGATTCCTACGCCCCGTTATTGCGATCTGGTGGCCTCCAAATTTCGCACCCCCCAAAAGGCTCGGATAACATTCTGTTCGAAAAGACCACGGTGCTCAGGTGATCAGCTTTAAGACAAACAACGGAAATTCACGAGACAAACTCGACAGCCGGAGGGAGATAGCCCATAACAATGACGCGTCTCCTTCACCTACTTTGATTCCATGTCCGAAACGTAATGTCAAGGCCTGAATACTAATAAGTTACCATACATCTCGTATCATTAATATAAAACTACAATGGCGTCTTTATCCAAACGAGATCCGAGGCTCACACGGGGGTATAAAGATTACGGTTTTACCGGATGTGACACCGTGTAGTTTGGTACAAACAAGCTACCTCTGTTCAATTCATTGAAAATTCTAGGCATTAAATAATAATCATAATAATTCAATTCAATTCATGTTTATTTACGTGCAATAACTTAACAGCACAGTGGCCAATTACAAAGTTAGCACGAGTATATAAAGTACAGAAAAAAATAATAATAATAATAATAAATTATGTATCAGGTTTTCTATTTTCCGATAAAGATGCCAAGGCTCAGCGCCACTAGGATTAGTCCGACGTTGGAATCGATCCACAACGAGTTACGTTAAATTCATATCCACGCAACTCCAAGACAAACTGTAATAACATATTCATGTCTGCTCCTCAATATTCCCAAGGGCTTTCCGACATTCTGTATGCATATCTTGTTTACTTGTGTCATTTACATGTTCAGTCCAGCGTAAGCGCTCCAAGTGTATTACATTAATAACAACGAACAGATACAAATCATGAAGCTCCTCGTTATGTAAGAGCATTATTCAAACACAGCAGTTTTAGCACTTAGCTTTACACGAGGCTAACTTGCGAATTGATCTAAGGGGGTTTAATGTGGCCGTCAACTATAAGCGTGCTAATACTGTACTGTATTTTCTACCTCAGTACATGCTTCGAGCGGTGTGATCATCATCAGGTGGTTACAATAAATACATAACCGTCATCACTCAACTGCTGCACTAATATGGATCCGTATTAGTGATCGTCGTAAATTACATAGTAATTATATATTAGAGTTATAAATTTTGGGTGTGTGCTCTTGACATTATTATAATGTGGTAAGGTTAAAAGATGAAAACTAAAATGTTACACTTTAAAAGTACGACTAAAGGTGACTGACGAGAGAGGATATTATACTCGTACAGTTGGGATCACCTCCGTAATAAGTTTTGTCGAGTTTTCCTTTATGTATATATGCTTTTTAGAATGTGTAGTGAATATTCTATTGTAGCTTTGTGTACTGTAGGTGCGAAGTAGCAGAAGGTTTGTACAATTATAGTGATTAGATACGTATCGAATGAGTAGATATGATGCAGTTTAGATTATCTTCTTTTATGAGTATGTTTTTTCACTTCGCTGTATATTATTGATCATGTAATTGTATGTTTACATGTTGTGTGTGATATCAGTGCTTAAGTGTAGTAGTTGACTGTCAAAGCGTCATTTTTCAAGCCTTGAAAATACCAAGAGAAAACACGATTTACTTAAAAAGAGGCTCATCTAGAAAATAATCCTCCATGCCCTCCACAATTTATTGAATGTCTTCTAAATGCTGTATATAAATGTTCCTTTGCTTTATAAACGTCAATAATAATAATAATAATAATAATAATAATTTAACGGAAGGACTGGGTTTACTGATCAACGATCTTTTTATACCCACGTTCTGAATCCCACTACCCCTGTTGGTTCTGCGGATCTCACAGCTACAGCACTCCTTGCCCCTAAGATGAAGGCACACTTATGTTCCTCCGAAACGTTCGTGAACTCATACGGGACTACAGGACGTTACACCCCAGAAGATTCTGCTCTTCCTTCCACTTGTTTCTATCTTTCAGTTTAAAATGTCCTATATTTAGCTCCCTTCTAACACATTCAATGTTCTTACTCACATGCATATTGAAGTACGTAAAATTTCGAACAAGGAAAGTAAAAAAAAAAATATTTCTGCTGTTTGTATTTGTAAATTAAATAGTCCATTTTTTGTCCAAGTTTAAATATCACAAAACTGAACAGTATAAACCTTTAACCGAATTCCTGTTCTTAATTTCCGCTGTAGAGTTCTATGAATTACGCCGCAATCTCCTGAACATTTTTATTCAAGTTATGACGAAATAAGAAAACGGAAGGCTAATTGGATTGGTCATATCTTACGCGGTAACTGCCTTCTAAAAGAAGTTATTGAAGGAATGATAGAGGGGCGGATAGAAGTGACAAGAAGACGAGGAAGAAGACGTAAGAAGATGCTGGATGACCTTGGGGACAGAAGAGGATATTTTCATTTGAAGGAGAAAGCTCTAGATCGCATCAAGTGGAGGAGTTGTTTTGGAAGAGACTGTGGACCTGTCGTCTTGAAGGTTTTCATGGCGGTGACTATGAAGAAAGCAGTCTTCTGTAGATGTTGTGTTAACCGACGTTTCGGAGCAACGTATCGCCTCCATCTTCAGCTCACGCTGGTTTCTCGCTCGCGGATTTTCTTCTTTTATCTTCTACCTTGAAGATGGAGGCGATACGCTCCTCCGAAACGTCGGTTAACACAACATCTACACGGCGCCACATCCCAGAAGACTGCTTTCTTCATGGCTAGATTTGCTGGAATATTATGCAGAATAAATAATTATTAGCGTGTCTATATTTAACAGTTTTAACGTAAATTGGAACGTGCCAAATTTAACGTCCAGTCAGTTTCTGGAACTGTATGAGGGGAGAAGTGTGCATCTGATTCTTACAAATTTGCTGACCAACTGTCAATGGCGATGGGGTGAGCATTCGGGGATGTGGCAGCGATTTCCATTTGCAACAGCCTTTTCGTAAGAGAGAATTATGCTGATTTCCGTATGATCCTACTTTCTGACGCTTTTCTTCATTCGTTATAATCCTTTTTTTTTTTAAATTAATGTTAACAAATTTTCACACATTATTCTTATGTACTTCACTACAATGTAACTAACACACAAAATGCTCCCTTGAATGTAAAGTGAGCCCTAATTCTGAAAGGATAAACTACAAAGGAAATGTCCTTTTTACGTTATCAGTTATACATCCTAAGAGTTTCTAAATACGTATCTGCAATAAACGACTGTCGATATAACATTATAACATACTAAAACGTCTGGAAATACTTCACAGAAGCTTTTCGTGTAAATTTAAAATGTCGAATATGGTGCTGCCGATTTTCAGACAGCATTTAGAATGTGCGTTACATTTTTAGAAATACGGTACCATTTACTAAACTCTAATACAGGCCTAAAATATTTCAACTTCGCTAATGCTGGGAAGTTCTTGAGTAGCTGCGCAATTGGCAGCTTTTCAAGAAGGACTCAGCTCCACGAGTAAGTGAGTTAGAGAGTGAGTGAGTGAGTGAGTGAGTTAGAGAACAAAGACGTTATTCAGACCTCAGAACTGATATCGGCATGCATTAAAACTGCAATTTTCACTAAGCATTATGCAGTTTGCAGCGTTTGCGTTCAGACTGACACGAACAGTTAAAGCAGTCAGGCAGATTCTGAGGAATGCAGGAAGGCAGAATACACACGTCAGAAGAAACAAGCCCGCCCGCCACCCACAGAATAACCAGCTTCATGCTGTGGCAAGAAACAATGGCAAGTGACACAGTTATTATGTCTGCCCCTTATCCGGGGGCGGCGGATGGCGTCTTACCCCAGTAGTGCAGTCTCCTCGGCAGACGCTGAAGCTGGCATTTTTCTGTCCCTACAAAAGCAAATTGTTTCACTTTGGTAATACCAAATAATAACAAAAATTGTGCAAAGAATGATAATTTTATTGAAAATGATATCTGTGTCAAATGTGTGTGTTACATTTCTAATACTTCTGTGTACAATACAACTTACAAACATAAAAACACGTGCTTTGCTATAATTCTTCACACACACTCAATGTGTTCCAAAAATCCCTGAGGTGTATTTAGAGACTCTGGGAGCACAATGCACATTTACATATATTCAGTTTTCTCGTTTTCTTTATATATGCCATTCGTTTTGCATTCCGCGCCTCATCCTCAATCGTTCCAGAAAATTCAAGTCGACCTCCTAAATTATGAGACGAAAGTTCACCATCCTCAATCTCACAAATTAGTGTTGAACAAAATTCAATTGAAGATTCAATCGATAACCCTACAACCGCTAACCTCCTTAACGGAATTCTACTCAGAGCCAATCAGAAACACTTTTGCTAAGTATGAATATTAGACTATGGAAAATAAATAGAACTTTTAATACTCACTACTTTATGTCAGTATTATTTCACCTTGAAGTAGCAAAAGAAAAATCATAATGCCAAGTTTACCAGTGAAAAATAACAAGAATGTAACTTGAATCCCATTCTTGGCACATGGTCCATGAATCAGAAAAGTTTACCATTTTTCGCATTACACAGGGCTTTCCAAGAACGCGACCAACGCCCAATACAAACCGATCGTTTGAACAGACATCGCAACCGCTGTATATCTTCGACTTAAACACGAACTTCGGTTATACCGGAATAGCGAAATCTGGATAACTTCTCATACAGTGAGCCTATTCATGCCCAGAGTTTGCTATACTGATTATCGCTATAACCGAAAGGAACAGGGTTGCATGTGGAACGACAGCTATTTCTCTATGTACTTCTCTGACGTAAAGGCACGTTACCAAAGGATCTGTCCTCAATAACTTTTGGAACACACTACATAATACCGAAGTTCCAACTCTCAATGACTTTCAGCTGAAGAGATGTTTCAATCCACACAAATTAATTTAAACATCACAACACCAAAATGACATTAACAAGCACAATATTTAAACCATTTATAACATTTACCCGTAATTCGGCACATCATTGCATGTGAAACGTGTGATCACCCACCGTCACATTTCATTTTCCATGCATAGAGTCTAGGTTTCCAAATGACACCTGAGCTATGGAACTTTCTCAAGAAAAGAACCCCGTAGTCAGCGTAACTCATGTGGCTAACGTTATTACATAAGCCCTCATGAAGCCTGAGGTTTTCACATTATATCCTTCTGGATTGACACCGTATAGTCTTGCAGATGATTATCTGGTGTCTCCGTCATGGGGCAGACAATGGAGGCAACACGCTGCTCCAGAACTGTGGTATTCATCTACAAGACTACACGGTGTCTTAAACTAGAAGTCCTAATCTAAAACCGATATCTTATTTTTTTCAGGCACTGCATACCAAGAATTATGACGCATTTGTCCATTCTGAACAGACAACAATAGGTATACTCTTTTTATTTTAAAATTGCTTTTAATTAATATTTCTCTTCTGAATTTTGATTACTTGTAGAAACCCAATAACAATTACTGCACAATGCAAGAACAGATTCGCTCTAGAAACGCGCAGATAACGCCGCACCGTAACGGCGTATATTCAGTGTTTAATGATCATTCAAGCTGGAATCAGAACTTGGTCCTTGGAAATCTGAATACTGAAAATCAGCAGCTCAAATCGCATTCCCACGTAAATATGTCATAATGTTCTACAGAGGGGGCCTGACCTACTCATTACTGTACCATGAAACCTCATTTATTGACCCCATTCCCACCCCGACATCCGCAGTATGACTGAGAAACTACAGGATTTTCGGTTGAGAGCGAGTGTGACGATGTGTATTCTGTTGCACCAAAACTTATGTTGGTAAAGTCACGAGGATAACATAATCAAGGTAATTAAGCAGTTTCAAATAAACCATATACACTCGTAACAGCCAAAAACAATCTCTGGGGAAATAGTTCTTTTTTATTTCAATAGAGATGCATGAGGTGCCCCAAAAACCAAGAAACCTTCATATATTTCTGAAGTTATAGAACATTTAATTGCAAACATGTGAGGATTATTTACCATCACTGTACTTTTCATCAGTCTAGTATCTTACTGTAAACACAGTTGTCCTTCCAGAATTCTTCTAGTTCACAGAGTGCACATTCAACAAAATGAGAGTTTCGAAGTGTCCCTCAAGCACTACAATATACATACTCGTATAACAACGGCTCACATTAACATAAATACAGTGTGATCAAATATGCTCTCGATGCATTTAAATTTCAACAGGCTTTATGCTAGCTCATTCTGGGGACTGTGATAGGAAGAAAGTAAAATTATGTTCTTGAACCACTGTTATTAAAAAAAAGAACCTAGTTTCCTTCCTCTCACTCTGTAGTTCTAACTAAACTGAAAAAGGAGACACTGTTCTTTCGTTATTTCATAAAACACATTAAGTAAGAGTTAAATACAAACAGTTTTACTTCAAACCATTAGGTCTTATTCAGAGGTAAAGATATATTGCATATCCCTTAGCTCTGTGTTACATGTGGGGTAAAAGTGATACAAGTGTTTCACAGCTATGATGTGCGGGAATGCGATACACTTATAAAGACAACTATAAAACTATAAGCGTGGCATTCAGTAACTTACTATCCACTTTACACTGCAAAGCGTTCCAGGGAAAATATATGCAAAAAGCAACTTATATTACAGCAGTGCTTTTCTGTTACCAGATAAATTCTCGGCTAACGAATGCGTGCGTGTGGCTCAAAGTGGAAAAGTATGTTACGTGTTTCAAAGTTTAAATGCTTCCAAGCATTCTGCCCGAGAGTGCTCAACAGGAAATCCATTGTCACTGTCTCACAAAATCAGTAACAGCACGGTGACTACAATAAACGCTAAACGTCAGAGACATGCTAACTTTCCAGACGTCTTACTGTAACATAAAAATTAATGTTTACGTGAATTTTAGCTGTTTCTCTAAATCAAAATTATTTTATAATCCGACTGTAATATTCAAACAGCTCTTCAGGTGTCATTTAACGTTTCGTAAACTGAATGAATCGAAACAAATTAAACAAATAGCGCAAAATCAATCGAGCTTAATAACAAAAACGAAGTTTCAATTATTTATTTAATGAATTAACGCCCGAGTCACATAAACCTTAAATTAAGGTTACGAGGAAATGTAAACACAGAAACAGAAATATAGTACTGTACATAAGAGGTTAGAATTAGTAGGTGAATAGGGGCAGAGTATCACAAGAATATGTTATGCGGATATGTATGTATTGTAGACACACGAGAACACAACTCAATATGCTGAAATACAAACTCTAATTCATAGCATAATTTATATTCCCACAAATTCTTTGACAAATAAACAAACAAAACAAGCTCCTTGGCTTGTAGTCCGCAAGCGAACTATATCGAGCGAGAGACCGCCGCCTGTCGGCGAAGTTAGTGCCAACTTTAGCGGATAGAGGGTGTCGCGTGGTCAGCGCAACGGATCCCCACGCCCGTTAATCTCGGTTTTCTAGACCGGAGCAGCTATGTCCTTGAAATAGCTCCTCAATTATCCTCACAAGGCTGAATGGACCATGTTCCAGACCCAATTCTTCTCAGATAAACTGGCGGCGCCGGGAATAGAACCCGGGACCTGTGGATCTGTAGCCAGGAACTCTGACCACTAGACCATAGAGGCGGTCAAACATTCTTTGACACAAAGAAAGAAACTGAGGGAACTCCTTATAGGCCTAACGATAAATCAGGGTAAGAATACTAGTACTTCAGCCCTTGTTTGTTTCCTAAGCTAAACCGTCCTGTTAATCACTGAGAAGTACTTCTGACAGGGAGTAAATTTAAACATGGTTCATCATGATTCAGTCTGATTCCGCCCCCAGTCACAATACATTTACGCTACAGGCCTTCATAATTAACATCACACGCACAAACCTAAGAAAGTAAAACGGTAAAACTATCCCTGCGCTTAATTAATTAAGCATTACGTCATGAAGACATATAGGAGAGTGGAGGTACAGCGCCACAATTTTTGACCTCGGCACTAGATGGAGGTGAGTGGTCAACTTCACGCCCCGGCCGCTTTAACACCGGGGGAGAGTACCCGGTACCCATTGGATAGGAGGCTGGGTGGGCCCCAGAGTCTGTCTTGATGCTCTAAAAGAAAAATCTGGCGTCTCCTGGGAATTCAACCCCGACCGTCCAGCCCACAGCCTGTGGCTTATCGACTGAACTACACTGTGCTGGAAACGTGGTCGCAGATTCCAAAGCTTCTAGATTGAAATTATACTAATCATATTGTTTTCTTTTGTTGTTAAAAACTGGCTCTGCAATATTTTATTAAAGCAAATAGCATCAATCGTGTCCAATGTATGTTGAAGAGTGAATTAAGAACACTGGGTTCAGGATAAAAATGTGCAATATGTGCCTTCTTTCATGCACTGCTAATGCTATTCTGTCTAGAATGAAGCTGCAAAAGTCTTGGCCAACCTCCAAGCACGACGACTTCAGGAGCCACAGCCCTGCGAGTATGTGCAACGAGATACCCTGCCTGTTTATTTCATTCTCTAACGTCTCACTGCGGTAGCTGTGTAAAGAGGTAAAGCTGTCCCTGTAACAGGCCGCGAAGGCCCACAGGGTTGTGAGACGTCGAGGCTCCCACGTTTTCTAGACACTCGGACTACAGATGGTGGTGAGGTTGTCAGCCTTACGCGCCACACGCCCTTTACCCCCCGGGGAAGATCCCTGGTACTCATTTCTGTTAGAGGCTGAGTAGACCCCAGGGCCATATTGCGGCTGGAAGGATTAGGTTAATTGATAACATTCAATAACTTAATCGGGAACCGAATCCGTGACCTTCCGGCTTTTAGCATTATGCCTTAACCAACTACGCTACCGAATGCCCAACTGTGTAGGGCTTCCAATATCAGACCCGAAATTTGGAGTTCCTTGTCTCTTTCTAACGAGATCATGAACATATGTTGTGCTTGTTAGAAAAAACAAACAATAGAACAGAAAGGAAATGTAATAATACAAGGGAGATGAAAATGAAAGGACGGGGGAAAGAAAGAAATGAGAAAAATTAACAAATAAACTAAGAACAAAATATAGAAACAAAGGAAAGGAGAGAACGAAAGAAGTAAAGGAAAACATGTATAAATATGTGACAGGCTTTAAGAATGACGAATTCTGTCAGGTCACGAATCTGAGGGCGAAGTTTATTTTACCTATCTGCAGGATACTCACCACTATCTTAATATAACAGTTTCTGGGAATATGTTGGCCCACTAATGGTACCTTTCTAAACCGTACTGGCACGCAATACAGCTTGAGGTATTGTGCTACGCTTAACACAAATACTGCTTTTATATTCTCAGTTCCTTTTCTGTAGAACTGTACATTTGTCCTTGAAACACACACGCTGACACTCGTACCAAGGCACGAAAAGCACTGCTGGAAGTTACCAGAGGGTGGCACATACAAAAACAAGTTTTTTTTTCTCTCTTTACCTGATGGCCATGCCGGGTACCACCTCCACACGGGGCTCATCATGAGCTCTCAAAATAAGAGCGTCGGAGCGCCTCGTTTGGGGCCCGGCGAAGCTAAATGCTTTCTTCACTGTTTCAATGACACTAAACTTGTTCTCTTCTATGGTGGTGCTCTTGTAAACATCATCAGCAAGTGATCTGTACGAGGTGCCTATACCTGATGGCATGTTCTCGGTTGCCTGAGCACGTGCAAACGTAAAGAAACAAATCCAAAATAAACATCAACATACAAAACAAAATAGGCAAACAATCATGCACAAAAATTATAATACACAAAATATATGGGTTGGTCCAGCACTAAGATACAAAATACTTGAACCCTTCAACGGACGAAGTTCGGTTACAAACAACAGACGGTCAACAACGATCAGCCGAGATGTGAGATGATACTGATAAATCGAAAAGAAGTGTTCGATATCGATATGCATTTATCGCAAAAACATATCATACAATATCCTGGTAGCAGAAAATTACTCTTGTTATTTATGCGAAAGTTCTAAAATAATTCGCCCATACACGAAAATTCTTGACCCTACCGGGACTAGAACTCCGACCCCTCGGTCTTCCAGCCGGTAGCCCGTTGCTATACTGACTGCGCTATCCCGGTTCCTACTAAACACTAATGCATGTCATAAAGAGTTATAAAGAGAGGTTAACCGTAAACGCCACTGAAGTAAAGAGGGTCATTGATGCCAACCTTTAAACATTTCAGAATGCTCCACATCTGTTATATGACAGCTTGAGATTTATTGGTTGTCAGTGGCTTTATAAGCATAAATCAATTTCATTGGCTATACACACCTAGCTGCCGGTCACGGTAGCCGAGAAGCCTAAGGCCGGGTACAGACTAGCGAGCTGGCATGTAACATAATGGTTACTGTAACCACGTCTTCGTATGGACGACGTGTCCATAGCCGTCATGTAACCAGCTTCGAGCGACCCGATCCATAGTGCTCGTGGTGAGCTCGCCATGAAGATATGCAACGCTACTCCTGGCTCGAAGGAAACGTACACATTTACGAGCAAGCGATTGTGGCGTCCACGAGCCTACTGCGAGTACCTTTGTGTTCGCAACAAAAACCGACAAGGCAGTGGCTCGCCGGTCGTGTTACAGAGCGCGCTCGAAGTACGTTCGCGAGCGTGGTTCGGAAGGCGTCCACACTAACAGAATGTGGTTACAGTAACCGTTGCGTTACATGCAACAGCTCGCTAGTGTGTACCCGGCGTAAGACACCCGGTCTTCGCTCGCTTGGAAGCCGGAATTGTGAGTTCGAACCCCACTCAGGGGATGGGTACCAGGGCTCTTTCATCGGTGGTAAAGCGGCCGGGGTGTGAAGCTGCCCACTCACCTCCATCTAGTGCCGAAGTCGAGAATCGTAGTGTTATATCTCCACGTCCCCATATGTTTTAATGGCTTTATGCTTCATTAATCAAGCACGGGTATAACTTTGCCTGTTACCTCTATGAAGTTTAAATAAAATTTGTCATCTGGTTAAAATTATAGCGTAGGGTCATCATTACGGACAAATCATACATATTTATCATTTCTCTCATAAAACGGCTCACCGTACAAACAAATGGCAAGTAACATATAATTTCGGGCAACTTCAAGATCCAAGATTTACATTTGAAAATTTTCTCTATACAATGCATAGGGCCTATTTAAAGAATCACAAGGAAAACTGTTTTATGACTTTGCAAAGTTATAGGCCAAATATCGTAATACGCTTCTGCAACAACAAGTTAATATCAACACCAATCCCGTAAGCAAAACTGTACAGATGAACTTCGGAAAAGAAAAGCCACTCCAAATTGCAGTTCACCCTTCCACTGTGATGTTTAAAACTGCAAATGCTCCTTGGTCACAATTACATAACTGTTAACAATTGAGTTCAATCAGCAGCAAAGCAAGTTTGCTTCAGTGTCACTGCTTGCGTGATGAACTTGGCTGCGTTCTCAGTTTCAATCAGAGGATATGCTTAACCATTATCTAGCATCAAAAGAGCAGACCGTAGGCCTGCACGAATTCCGAGCGCCTGGTTTTTTTATTGCTAGTGGGGTGGGACTAAGTCCCTTGTACTGCGGCCACTTCTGGCCCAGATGATAGGTGAGGGTGATTGTGGAGCAATTGGTGGAATGAAGATTGGCAGAGGAAACCGAAGTACTCGGAGAAAATCTGCCCCAGCGCCACTTTGTCCACCACAAATCCCACTTGACCAGACCCGGGATCGAACCCGCGCCAAGGTGGGAAGCCAGCGACTAACCGCTTGAGCTATGGTGCGGCCTGAGCGCCTGGTTGCCATGGTGATTAAAATTTTCATTATCACGCTTACAACTTTCTATTAGTTCTTTCTTCCCTTTGACGATCCTTCTTCTCGCCTTTCTCCATTAATAATTTTCTATCCCTTTTATTTGTTCGTCTTGTTGTTATTCATCTCCAGTTTCCTTCCTCCCTCTCCTTCGCTACCATTAACTCCTTTCATAAGCCGCGCCATAGCTCAAGCTGGCTTCCCACCGCGGCGGCCCGGGTTCGATCCCGAGTCTGTTCAAGTGGGATTTGTGGTGGACAAAGTGACGCTGGGCGGGTTTTCTCCGAATACTTCGGTTTCCCCTGCCAATCTTCATTCCACTAAAATTCTCCATCATCATAATCACCCGGGGCAGGCTACAATAGGCCAATCAGTGGCCGCCGTGCCGAGTGGACCCACTTGGACTCCACCCCTCACTAAGCGAATTAAAAAAGAAAAACTCCTTTCATCCTTTCTCATAGATTTATCTATCAATCCTACTGGTTATCTAGCCGTAACCTATCAACGGCTAACGCTGCCTACTTCAAGATCAATAACACTTACACCTAACAGGAAATCAAAGAAAGGGTAGTTGGCGCATACAACATGCAGGAAATATTCCGTGCATCTGATGTATATAACTTTTCTTGGTGGGGGAAGAGAACGAGAGAGTTGAGGGTGGGGTTGGAGTGAGGGACTCTACATTTATTGCGAGGGCCACTGATACACCCTGATGGTTCCCAGGCAGTGCCCACTCGTCATTCAGGAAAAGATAGGTCGGCGAGAAAAGTAAAGAAGGTTCAGCGATGGGAAGTGAACTGCTTAGTGCTTATGTAGCTTGGGGAGAAAGATGAACAGGCTATTTCACTGCGTTACGGAGTAAGTTTAAATTCCTTATTTCCTGTTTATACCGCAGACCTAAGGGAAAACATTCAAAGTCATTATGAAATTTATCCCGTAGTCCTAATCTTGCCAATGCCCGGGTTCGATCCCGGGTCTGGTCAAGTGGGATTTGTGGTGGACAAAGTGGCACTGGGGCAGGTTTTCTCCGAGTACTTCGGTTCCCCTGCAAATCTTCATTTACCAATTGCTCCACAATCACCCTCACCTATCATCTGGGGCTGGTACAATAGGCCAGAAGTGGCCGCAGTTCAAGGGACTTCGTCCCACCTCACCAGCAATTAAAAAAATACTGTGCTGAGCAGACGCGTTTTAATACGCGTACATTATGGGAGGCCTACTAAAATGAGGAACACTAACAGTGACCATGAGCAAACTTCAAGTCTACCTACAGGTAAGAAATGAAATGACGCGAACGTAGAGCTATGCTGCAGTCTACCATTCATGAATTTTTCTAGGGCCGGGGGGACAACGGGGCCATTTAAAATTTACCGCGGGCCGAAGATATCGACAAGACAAACTGGCTGTTTGAAAACTGTTAAACCGCTTTCTGTTGTGTGCACTGCACTTACGAATTGCGAAACATTCACGGATACTTGCAGAAGGACTGCACATACGCACATTACAGTATACTCGTACTAACCTAACACTGGCAGCAGAACGTAGGGGGTCAACGCGGTTTGTACCAAAACTCGTCACTGGACACAATCCTGCAGTGTACCATCAATCTCAGAACTTGCCTCGTTTCTCAGTCTTTCTGTGGACGCTTTAAAAGTAGTTTCCCCGTCAGGATTCTCTATGTATGGACCATCTCTGTGGTCTAGTGGTCAGAGTTCCTGGATACAGATCCAGAGGTCACGGATTCGATTCCCGGCGCTGCCAGTTTCTTTCTGAGTAGCAGTGGGTCTGGAACGGGGTCCGCTCAGCCTCGTGATGATAATTGAGGAGCTATTTCAAGGAAATAGCGGCTCCGGTCTAGAAAACCGAAATTAACGGCCGTGTGGATTCGTTGCGCTGACCACGCGACACTCTCTATCCCCTAAAGCTGGCATTAACCTCGCCGACAAGCGGCGGTCGCTCGGTCGGTATAGTTCGCTTGCGGACTAAAACGACGGAGTTTGTCTTTCTTGACCGGTTTACGTCTCTGCGCTTCACGGTGACCGGTGCGTTGCTTGCAGCGAGGCGCATAAGAATTTTGCCAATGAATCAGTATGCCTGCTGGCCGACAACGTTTCGAAAGAAGAGAAGTCATTAACTTGTGTACCGCTTGACGGCATTATGTTTCACGGCGAGCAATGCGGTTCATGCGTGGGGGTTTGTTTATGATTTGTCAGCAGTAGGCAGCAGTTACCGCCGGTCACGGTAGCCGAGAGGTCTAAGGCATGCACTGTCTTCGCTCGCTCGGAAGCCGGGATCGTGGGTTCGAATCTCACTCAGGGCATGGATGTTTGTGTGCGTTTTTCTGTGTTTGTTTACATGTAGAGGCCTTGTTACGAGCTGATGACTCGCCCAAGGAGCCCTACCATATGTGTAAGATCTAGAAAAACCGAAGTGAACGGAGTTCATGGAGGTAGGCCTAGGCCCACTGGGGCTGTAGTGCCAAGGAAAAAAAAAGGCAGCAGTTACCAGCTCAATTAGCCAGTTGTTCTCAGTTACAGTTACTGAGCAGTGTAGTACGTCATGGTGCGGTGTACTTTAGAGCAACATGTATTTCTGTATGACGCCTATGTGAAATACGGTTCTGCTAGAAAGTGTCGGCGAAAATTTCGACGTAAAGTTTGCGATGAAAGAGTCCCCACAAACACTTCACAATTTGGTGAATAAACTTAGAAAACAGGGACTCTTCAAGAGACAAGGAACACAAACATATGCTCCGAGTGCTTACTGAGGAGAAGTTATATGGCACAGGGGCCAGACTTGAACATACACCTAGAAAATCACTGAAATGTCTAGCTCAAGAGACTGGAGTGTCAAAGTCTAGCGCAAGAAAGGCAACACAATTCCTGAAGCTTGGTCAAGAATACGTGGATCTATATATCCACTTCCCTATACATCTTCATTGCCTAGTGCGTAACTAGCCAAGCACAGGAACACTTTAACTTTGAAACATTACATACATACGGGCCTACATTGTTGTCGATTTTGATTTTATGAAATGTTCATATATTTACTTCCAGCCTAATTTTTTTTTTGCTTTCTTGTAGGATAATTTCTGCATTATTTTTATTGTACCCATTTTTTTTTTCCAATGGCTCTTCCAGCCCATTCAGGGCCCAGGCCTCTTAATTCAGTTCCGTAATCATTTTTCACAGACGGCAGGACTCCTTGGAAGAGTAACCAGCCCATCGCAAGACCGCTACATAAACACAGAACAAACGCTTTTTTTTTTCTTGGCACTACAGCCCCAGTGGGCCTAGGCCTACCTCCATGAACTCCGTTCACTTCGGTTTTTCTAGATCTTACACATACGGTAGGACTCCTTGGGCGAATGATCAGCTCGTCGCAAGGCCTCTACCTGTAGACAAACACAGAAAAACGCACACAAACATCCATGCCCTGAGTGGGATTCGAACCCACGATCCCGGCTTCCGAGTGAGCGAAGACAGTGCATGCCTTAGACCGCTCGGCTACCGTGACCGGCCGAACAAACACACACGCGAACATCCATGCTCTGAATGGGATTCGAATCCACGATCCCAGCGTCCGAGCTAGCGAAGACAGTTCTTGCCTTAGACTGCGCGGCTACTTTGACTGGCCTTATGGTACTTATATTTTCCCCGAAACGAATTAAAATCATCTGAAAAAAATAAGTACTGTACTGGATTTAGGTCATTCAGTTCCAGCGCTTCCTGGCCCACCCGGAGAAATGAAGGAATGATTCACAGACTTGAATACAAGTCTACATTTATATGACTTAGCTCTGAACCAACCAACATATCACAGTACACAAATACACATACAACACATGCTGGTGCAAACAACAGTACTTCAAAGCAACGTCAAGTTCCGTAATATGACAAAAACCTCAAAACAATTCAATGTGAGACATTGCAAATGGGCATTCCAGTGAGCATCCAACAGAAATGTACAACTGCTACAGACGTACATCCAAGAAGCATGACATTACTCTAAAATTTCACAGGCCACTTTGTTCTGTTATTTAACACATTAAGTATGCTGTGCCTTTTTTGGTCTTCAGAGCTATGTTTTCCTGCATATTTTGTGAAGAGTTTTAGTTTATTATTTGAAGTGAAGGGAATCACACATATATGAAAATCTAATGTCACGTCACACTGAATAACACAAATATTAATTACGGTAACACATATGCCTAAGTCTACAGTTTTTATGGTATGCCTGATTAACAAATTATCGGTTCACTGGAAAGACTTTCATCTATAAAAATTTAGCACGTAATCATTACGTAAAGCTTCTAGGTCAAACTAATATAAAAAGGTCAGCCTCTTCTCGTATAATAATAATAATAATAATGGTCTTTACAAAATACAAATGAATTTTAGTACTGTTATTCTAAACAGACTGAAATTTAACGCCGCTATTATCCAAGCTGTTAACGCTACGAAAAAATAAGTATGGCAACATTACTTACGTGCCTGCACCGATTTATACTTAGTATGTTATGCTTTGCTATGCACAATAATAACAATTCAGTTCTTTATTATTTATGTGCCGACTCAACAGCTACAATAATAAAAATAATAATATAATCGGTAAAGAATGACACAAAATGAGTTTTAGTCATTCAATAAGATAATTTAGTAATTAATTATGTATGGATAAGCCAAGCATGCACATTTCAAAATTACTTTACCACTTCGGGGCGTGGCTGTAAGAAAAATTAAAGAGAAGGGGCTGTCAACTACAAAATGAAAATGTTCACACCATTATACTAACTGTCACACTTCGTAGTACAGTCTGCTGTTTCACACATTTGGTAATCACTGAATTAAAAAAAAACTCACCTTTAAGGAGCTTTAAAGAGACACGCCTGAGTTACGAGTCTTCGGGGGGGCTGGGTTGATTTTCAAGGCCACAAAACAAACTGTTTAAACTACAGTAGTAACCGAACGGAACAAGATCTTACGAAGGGATGACACAAGCCTACTGGTTCCCGCTTTCTCAGTTCTACAGCAAGCACACTATAACTTCCACCACGTTCCTGTTTGCCTTAAGCTGTCTTCGCTACAAGATCTATACAAGTTCTTTGGCTTTTTTTTCAGGACGCAGGATTGGCTACTATTGGCTACAACATTACCACGTGACCATCAAAACCCGAGAATGGACGTAACGCCAGCTACTGTTCCTTCTGCTATTGGGTTGACCCAGTACCACCAACTTTTGTCCCCATTTTGTGGACGAAACATAACTATATTTCTGTCTTATATGATCATTCCACTGGAGAATTCTTTACTTCTGTTAGTTTAATATTTAATATAAATATTTCGAACACAGTACAGCATTTTCATATTTCGTTCAACATTGTGTTCTCGATCTGTTTGGTTGGTCACGTTAACTGACGTTAACACCCTACTAGCTTCGACAGCGACATCTATCGAGTTTACGTTTCACAGATAGTATACATAAGAGACACCTGGAAACTAACGCGACAACTTCATTCACTTGCTACATTGTCCTGTCATCTACCGGCTGAAGTTACAACTACAACATAAATAACAGGTTCTGACGTGGTCCATCGTTAAGTAAACCTACGGTTCGCAGGAAGACGACGCCTACATCTTCAGGGTTGAAGAGTATGCAAAGCGAGATACCAGCATAAAATATTCAAAGCTTGTTACAGAGGAATATGTCGCCTCCATCTTCAAGGTTGAAGAAGAAACCAGCATGAAGCAGGCAGATTACTCTATTTGTCCACTTCGAAACTGGAGGAGACATGTTCCTTGGAAACATCGGTTGACTTTCAACGGATTACACGGCGTTATATCCCAAGTGACAGAACTGGTTACAACACGTAACTTCACTGGCGGTCGTTATAAAACGGAAAAGGTTAGAGCGAACAGTACTTTCTGTTGAACAACGCTTTCCAATTTCACATTTAGGAACATTGAGGACAAGTGTCAGAAGACTAACGACCATTTTAAAAGTGGAAACACATATTTAAATCAGAGCAGACGCAACAATTCAGGACATCACCTCTGGCAGGCTAGGAACAGAGTACTTTGAAAACATAAATGAAGGATGTCTAACTTTCATTACTGAAATTCGTAAATCTAAATTCTACTGCAGACGTAAATTTTGCCGTTATTTCCCTTGAAATAAAATGTATATACAAAAGATAAAAAAGACCGATCATTCTAGTTATCAAGGAAAGTGGCGTACTTTTAGCTCCCAGAATCTCATTCCATATTACAGAACGTAATGCTTTTGTAATGCACTGCGTTCTTTGATGCTGCACTATATTGCAAATGCTAACAAACACAGCAATTAATGTTCCATTAAAAGATGGTATTTGAGGTTAGGCCAGGGAAGATTCTTCAGAGCATACATAGACCTAAGTGAAGTTGATAGCCGTTTGTGTTTCAGTAGTACCTTGACAAGAATATCCTGAATAGCTCTATCTTCTAGGACACAATGTCGTTTAGTCCGTTGAAAGTCAACCGACATCTACGAACAAACAAGCCGCGTTTGCCTGCTTCATGCTGGTTTTCTACATGGCTTACCCTTGATCCCTGAAGATGGAGGCGAGATTTACTTCCAAGACGTCGGTTTTCTTTCAACAGACTACACGGCGCTATATAACAGAAGAAAGAATTCTTAAAAACACCTCTACCAGAACGTCAGATCATGCAGTAGTACTCTGATCTTTAGCTTGAGGTATTAGGAAATCTCATTTCAGTTGAATTTACGTCTAATTTAACAATCAAAAACTGAAACATTCAGAATTCAATATTGACTCAGTCACGTAATGTTATAAGCATTTACGAAAGGTTTAACGTTGTACATAAACAGGGGACCTACACCAGTAACGCAGAACGATGCTTGTTTCGTATTATTGCCAAAGGACGAAGTTTTTATTTTAACGTCCACGAACACGTCCTGAAAAAGAGGCTCATGTCATACAAACATGCAATGCACGAATTCGTTTGTAGGCAAGTTTCGACAGTTAGTCTGAATATATTTTACACGACCAAATTGCACCATATTTTAAATTTTCATTTAGACCATTAAAACACTGTCACCTCCTATTCTCTGATATGACAAAAAAAAACATAAATATTATTCCGAATTTATGTTAGAGTGTCAAATACCCAAATTTATCAAAATGTATTTGTCTGTAAATAGCCGACAATTGTTTTAATTCATGCATAATATAGATATATAAGTATGATTTGTATGTTCGACTCCTAATGAAACAAATTTAATGGAAGTAAATAATGCTTTCAGGAGATCCCGCCCTTAAAAAATTGAAGGAAGGAATGTAGGCCCTACATCAGTGGATCATTTCAAAGGCATTCACCACTGCTTTTGCATAGGATATCCAGAGTCCATTTGTTGTATTAATTTATTGCGATATAAAATATATCTAATCTATTATTCTAAAGTCAAGTCAGGCTCCTGATATCAGAGTACACGGTGAGAAAATACCATTTCTTTTTTATTTTTTTCTTATTCTGTTTTTTTATATTCATCTAAATGATCACTGCATTGTAAAGACTTAAAAAAGTTGTGGATCAAAAGTCAGAAGTATTTAGTATATTTACAAATATATACAGATATTGCCTAGGAGGAGCAGTCTCAAATTACTGATAATTTTGAATTCACCTTCCAATATAGTACGGACTGCTGGTCAAGGTAGCGGGTTCACGTCGCGATGAGGTCATTGGATTTCTTTTCAATTGACCTAATCTTTCCAGCCGCACTATGGCCCTGGGTTCGACTCAGCCTCTAACAGAAATAAATACTAGGACTCTTCCAGGGGGTAAAGAGCGGCCGGTTCGTAGGTCTGACAACCTTACCGCCATCTGTGAGCCGATTGTCTAGAAAATGTGGGAACCTCAACATCTCACAAAACTACGGGTCTCCACGGCCTGTTATAGGGATAGCTTTACTTTTTTTTGCTGCTGGTCCTATACGAATCAAACTAAATATGCCTGAAAACATGAGAACTTCATGAAAAACCGTTCATCGCTCAGAAATGAGACATGTGGTCACACATGTGTTCACTTCGAGAACTTCGTGCGAATAATGAAAGAAACTCAGATCTACGAGTACATATCTGACTCGGGTGGATAGGGTGTCGATGAACTGCGGTATTGCGCCGATCTAGACAAAAGGGGCGACCTTAGATTTGTTCAATGGGTCCATTACAATCTTCAACTTACAGGATACTCAGACTACTTTTTGCGATTTTCTAGCAAGAGTATAGAAGTGTATAGTGTACTTAAAAGGCGCGTTACAAAGAAGGGCTTATGAAAGACATGCCAGTACCAATGTTCTTTAAATTAGGTCTATTTGTGAGAAATGAAAATGCTGCTAATATGAGAAGGGGAAACAATTCTTTAATTCCGAACGCGCATGACTTCCGGTAAATTGAATAATAATAATTATTATTATTATTATTATTGAATTGTAGGGGTCTAGATTCTTACTGCGGTGGTTCTGAACAATTGTGTTTACTGGGCAGTCGGTTGACTTTCAGCGGTGCACACGTCATTCTATCCCAGGAGACAGATGTCTTAATGCAGCTGTTCACTATTGCTTGATATTATTCCAGTCCGTTTAGCCAATTTCCAGTTCTTTGACGTGTACAGGCAGGCGAGTGGACGGATGGACGGAGCAGATTTGATACGCGCTTCGTGGGGTTGCTAAAGCGTCTATTCCTCTTAAAATATTGTGCTTGACAGACAATGCAGACCGAATTAAAGGGTGAGATGTTGCCTGAAACATTTTTTACCACGGTAAATACTTAAGAGAAATATAAGGAAACATGATTTTGCAATGTGCATAGCTTTGTAACATTGTTAATCACGGCCAGAGCCTGAATTAAGGCCGAACAAAAAAGAAAAAAAAGCAAAGGATGGGCACCACAGCCCATGTGAGTCTTTTTTTCTCCTAGAGGTATATAGTTTTGTCTGCTTTATCCACTGGAACCAGACGTAGGTGAGCGGTTAACATGACGATCCGACCGCTACGCCTGGTGCCCACTGGAATTAAGTGCCAACATTAATTCACTACTAAACTATTTCTCCAGGTTATACGTGCATTATTCGCTAATTAGGTTAGACGATTTCTCATATAGCAGTTTGAATAGGAAATGATTCGATTAGCAATAAGCCAACAAGAAGACAAATTATGAGTTTAAAATTGTACAGAACCACTGTCGTTATATTTAGCTGCAAAACATAAATCATTTTCAAGCTACATATAATGATTCGGTAATTCAGTATTTGATATCTGCTCCGTAATGCTTCTTAAACAATTATGATTATTATTCTATTATTGTATATTGTATTATTGTACAAAATTTACATATAGGGTAGGATCAAAATAAACCCACCGTCCTTTCTCATTGTGAAACACACTATAACATAAACGTAATAGGTAGACACAGAGACAGGAGTAAGTTGTAGTATGCGACAATAATAATCATTTTCAAATATACGGATGTTCCCAGGATACACCGCTTTGCAAGTTCTCACAGTTCCATAATTATTTTATTCTTAACTGAAGAAAAATTTACAAACAGCGGTAATGTTACTTTCACATACCTGTATTCTGCATTGCAGCATTGTTGCCATTGCTAATGTGTAAGGAAATTTAGAACAAAGAAGACAACACACCAAGTTTCAAAGCAAAAGACGTTAGCTTTGTGCTTACGACGTCAGTTATGAAACATAGCTGATGGCTACACTGCAGTTTATAGAAACTTAATGACTGTTCATTTGATCCGTTCTAATCCTGAGCGAAAATAACCGGAAGAAAGCAGTGTGAGGTGACTGCACGCCACACTTGGGCGGGGCTGTGACGAATCGTAAGAGAGACGGATATGAAGCGGGCTCACATAATGAGACGTTACTGTAACGACCGGCATTACGGGACTTCTCAAATAAAGTTCATTTGAGAACACCGAATATTTTATATATTCAGGCAAAGAAATTGATAATTTTAACTGGCTCCATGCTATAGAATGCTTCTTGAAATGTTGATAATGGATTGGTTAAGAAAGTCTTATGTAGAAAGCAGTCTTCTGGGATTATCATCGTGTA